CCCCAAAACCCCAAAACCCCAAAACCCCTTCTAATAAATGTAAGTCAAAACTTTAGATCAAGAAATTAATGTTTTGATAAATATTTAAGCTTTGGTTTGAGCTTTTATTCATTAGAGTAATAAATTCTATTGAGCGCTGGGCTGTGTCTTAAGTATGTAAAAGTTAGCATCTTCATCTTAGAATTGCTCAGACAATCTTTATGATTTGAATACTCCAGATGCCTGCTAAGAGTAATCATCCCCATAGGCAGCAACAATGAAAGTTGCTTAATCATTTATGGCTCCAGCTACTAATGGGATTTTGTTGCCTTTTGAATGCATAGGAAATTCTCTCAATTTTTGCCTTTTTAAGTAGTTCCATTACATAAGTTTGCCATCTCCTCCGAATGTAATGAAGATTTATTCCTTTGAAGAAACTGATATTCCATTTATTGGATAGCAAACAGTGTCACCATCATTACTGAAAATACTAGTGATCCTATGGCATTTAAATTTGAAATTATCAGTTTGTTTTTCAACATTGAAATACCCACATTTAGCTTCTGATGAACCTGTAATGAATCCTTTATTCTATCTCAGTGCCTAGAGACAAGTGATTGGTTAAGAATGATTAGTTAAAATCTATAAAGATTCTTTTATCTCATGGTAATTATCTGATCTAATGACCTAGTTTGTTAGCTGCCAAACATTTACTGTTTAAGATTTAGTAGATGCAAGAACAAGATTATTATCGTAGTGAAAATATTGGACAGGCGCCAGTAGATTGCATTCAAATAACTGTTAAAGAGAGGTGAATTCAGGATTAGAAATCCAAAATCTTACAAATCCATCATATCCTCCTGATACTACATTACAGATAGAATTGTCAAAACTCAAATCCTTGTGCAATTAGTATGCTCCGATACACGCATGCTCGCTCGAATGAATTCCTATTTATATATAGCTTTATGTCGGTTTATTAGGTTCACTAATTACATTCATCAAGTATATGCTTCCATCAGAACTGGCAATGAGAAGACCAACTCTATCCTTAAGCCAACTAATCGACATAACTGGAGCTTGAGACTTAAACTTGAAAGACTATGATGATAGGTACAACTAATCAGATTGCTTGTTTAGCATGAAAATTACCACCCAGCCGTCCCAAGTGCACATTGCGATTAAATTGTGGTATGATGGGACTGAAATCAAATATGCACCTTCATCAGGTGAGATAATTATCTATTTGATTGTGTCGCATTTCTTCAATTTGTAGCGATTGTAACCATTTTGATCAGCTTCATTAACATCTGATGTTTCAAGAAGATAATTAGAAAATACTACTACCTCTGTTGCTGTTGAATCTTCCATTTGCTTTTTAAGACTTAATTAATTATTTAAAATATTTTTTATTTGCTATTTGCCCATATGAAAAATTACAATTGAAGACATTTGAATAAATAATGGACAATTTGAAATTATAGTACATCTCTTTATAATACAACAATATATAAATTACTTCAAAATTAATAATTACACTGAAAGCAGTAGTAAAACTACTGACTCTTATATTAAGTAAGAATTGACACACAGCAACAAATACTAATTAAATATATTCACGCCTTTTTTTTGAATACCTCTGATTCCTAAACTTTTCTAACCATCAACTTTACTGGGTAATTGTTCTTTTATCCTTCAGCTCCTTTTCCCCAGTCATAACCATATGCATAAGCAAATTATGTTGCTATACGAGAATGAACATGCTAATATGAACTTACCATTTTCTAAGAAATCAGCAGCTGTGATAGGAATAGAAGGATTTAAAGGCTTTGTGTTCCTGAGTTTACTTTTGGTGTCCTTATTCCAGAAAAAGTAGACACCATCCTATCCATAAGTAGCAAAAGTTCCAAATTGTTTATTGAAAGCAATTCCATTCACTGCATAGACTTATGAAGGCTTCTAAGCTGATCCAGTAGCAGTATCATCTACTCTATGACACTTAAAACAAAACTCATCTCTAAAAATTTGTCAATATAATTATTTCTTACGTAGTTTGTGTGATATTTTTCTGCAAGTCTATATACTTAATACCACATCTGCCTTCAATAGAACCAATGGCGAATCCCTTAGCATCTGGAAAGACTGAAAGTGCAGTGGTGGGATATTTCAAAGGTGAACTAAATACTCCTGCGGGACTGAAGTCATTGTTTGAAAGGTTTTGCAAATTCCAATAATGCAAATAGAGCTCTGAATGAGCAGTCACCAAAAGCGGGAACTCGCCACTCATATAGTGGACTGGTTTTCCTAAGTAAGCTTCACCAACTTAGTTGAGTTTCAGTGGTGATCCTTGTTGCCAAGTCCAGAACTTTACTCTACAGTCCCAGCCACCACTGACTACCAATGGATTGCCATTTAGAGTACAACAATAAATATCCTTGACTGGCTGAGAGTGACCTCCAACAACTGTAACCTGATTTGTTGCAAGATCCCATCTCTTTATGTTATTATCAGCACTTGCAATAAGTAATGCTTGAGCTTCTGGCTGCCAGCATAGACCTAAAATAGGTGCACCATTGTTAGTTGATAACATTCCTTGAGCCTAGATTTATGGACCTCCAGTGTCGTTTGTTTGATAGATAGCGATCTAATATTTTATAAGGTTATACATTCAAATATTCACTTACATTTCCATCCCATGAAGCAGCTGCAAATATAGGGCATCCAATTGATTAGTAAACCGGAGATAATGGAGCGTATTTGATAATAGCAATTGAATCTTAAAATGGATGCTAAATCTCATTATCGAATTGAGCATCCTAGTTTGCATTTTGATTTTGGTTTTGATTCTGTCCTCCACCGAATCCTGAAGTTTATCCCCACATTTTATTCTGAGCAATAGTTAATTATATTGATTATAATTTGAAATCACTCATTTATATTAATATTGAGGCCTATGGGGTTTTGGGGTTTTGGGGTTTTGGGGTTTTGGGG